GGTAGGGGTGGTGTGGTGAATAAAATTAAAATATAGGACAATTACGAACTTGTTATGCAGGTGTGTTTTTCTCCGAGAATAAGAACCTGTTTAAAGTAGCCCAAAATTTTGTTAAGTACCATTTATATAAGAACCTGTTTAGGCTAATTCCTAAAAATGTAGGTTCTTACTTGCGGGTTTTACTGTACTCGAAACATCGGCTGTTGAAACTTTTTGCGGTGGCCAGTTAACATAATGTTGTAGAGTATTTTAAAGGATTGTTATTTTGAGTATTTTTAGGTTTACCTTTTTTTTGATTAAGTCTCGCTTTTTGCGTCGACGTGTTGTTTTTGTAGTTCTTTTGCCTTGACCTTATGTTTCTAGTATGTACGTAAACTATTCTTAGTCCACAGAGTTTTCTTTTTACCTTGTTAGACCTAATAATCGCTTGTTGTGGTTGGAAATGGCTAGTTTTATAGGTGGTCGTGTTTGTGTTGTTAAGTTGACCTTGAGTTTTACCCACGCCAAGGATCCTGTTGGTGAATGCGATTCTTGCGCGCAGCCTTGCTGTTAGCACTTCAATTAATTGGTTCTTCAATGTTGGCAGGATACTTTGGAGGGAGTTCCTCGATTTCCCCCTTGCAAAGTAAAAGAATATACAATGAAAGTTCTCACGGCCAACTAACCCAAACATGTCTACCATTTTCCCTACTTAATGCGTAGAGATTAATAGAAGAGTTAGTTGTTAGTTGCAGTAACAGTTGTGATTGTTGTAGCAGTTGTAATAGCAGTTGCAGAAAGAGAGAGAAGCTTTAAGAAAAGAAATCGTTAAAGAGCAGAGTCTCAGTACTTCTCGTTAATTTGTCAAGCGAGTCTTCTAACACCCGCCAACAATAATCAACCGTTTATAAAACAAATCAGAACTTTTCTTTTTAGCCTTTTTTATGTATCTGAGTTTTAGCAAACCATTCACACAAATCTCCATCGAGTGTCAAAAGTAATCCAGACTGACGTTGGTTTTGTTCCTCGGCGCTCTTAGTTGGTCCGGAAAACTTGCCCCATCTTCTCAACCAATCAGATGCAAAACTAGAGCCAATCACGTCTTGGTCAGCCGCGTTTTTCCCGCGCTTCCAAATCAACAAACTTGAGAAACTAATTTATGGGGAGATGAAACAGCTTTAAGGGGGACTTTCTTATCAGATCTCTTTATTTAAGTGTTTTAACTGATTTTAACAACCCCCTAACGCCCTCCGAAAAATGCATCTTTTCATTAGAATGCAGCGTTTTCGAGAGAAAAACGAAGGAAAAATGAATTAAACGACACATTCTTAGAGGGTTTTTAAGTATTTTAATTTACAAAATTCGTGTTTATACAGTATTTACAAGTACAGCATTGCAGTCATGTTGCTGTTTAAAGAGACAGAGGGAGGAATTTTCAGCC